GCACACGGCAGTGGGGGGGAGGGGATAGCTGAACTGCCGGCAATTGATAGCCTACTGGGCAGCTGCCACGCAGGGAACTTAAGGGAGCCAGGAGCTGATGGGGGAGGGAGGGGCTGCTGATCCACCCTGGTTACAAGCCCTCACCAGCTAGCTGCAACGGGCTGCTCTTTCTGCAAGCAGTGGACAAAGCAGGCGGCTGCCAAACAATGTTATAAGGGAGCATTGCGCAACTTCAACCAGCATGTTTCATTGCTGATCAGCAATGAAACAATGTTAACCTAGACCAACTAAATGTGGAATTACTGTATGTGGTTCAAATGGTCTCTGTCAAATCTGGCTGCATAACAAGCACTGGGAAATGCTGGTACTTGTACATGAACAGGTAAAGATTTGATTTCTTTGATGCTGAATGGGTTGATCTTTGAGGTTGGGGATAGAATGTCCCAAAGCAACTGTCATCCTCTGGCTTTGTGTAGCGGGATGAGGGGCTGCTCCTCTATCAGGACCTTTAATGATTTGTTTTTGCTTTTTAAAAATTCAACCAAAAACCCCCACCTTTTTTCATTATTTTTTTAAAACTAGACTGTGGCGGTTTGCTGCTTCTCAGCTCCTTTATTTGTCCTGGATCTAAATCGCATGTCCTCACGTGAACATCTGATGAGAACAATAGAACAGAATTAATAGCTCTCCTGTGAAAGCAGCAGAAGTAGCCTGAAGAACCTAATGCATTTCCCTCCTCTCCAATTTTAAATGTGCTGCACTGGAATGGCACCTTTCACTAGCAGAGCTCAAATTACTCCTCGTACATCATTTCATCACCACACTCATAGGAGGTAGCTAGGAATTGTTCCCATTTTACAAATGAGAAAACTGAGGAACAGAGATTGAACTTGTCCAGGGCAGCCCAGTGAGTTGATAGGCAGAATATCTAATGTTGTCTCCCACTCCTAATCTTTACTCACTAACTCACTCCTCTGTCTTTCTGAGTTCCAAGGACCCAAAATGTCTCCCTCCCCAGGTCAAGGCTTCCTGATATCTTCTCCAATCCAGTTACCCAAAGCCTGCAACATATTGAAAATCTGGGGGCAATGCAAAATAAATTGAACTTGATCTCCAAATAAGGATGGCTGACCTTGACTGGGGAATGGAGCTGTGAGTGGGAAATGGCTTGGGGGAGGGCAGAGATATATGGGAGCCTGTCCATGTAATTTAAGTTTAATGTGCCAAGTAGGACATGAGGTCTTGATCAATATACTGGAAAGTATATAGAAACCTTCAATCTCCTTCTGTAGAAAAGGAATTGGGTCAGTAACTGATTAAGAGTTCCTACATTCCCTCAAGTCTGCCTTTTAAAAATATTTCTATGCTATTACCCAGGTCACATGCTCTTGGAAGTATCTTGCAGCCGATGATTGACTTTTGTGATCAAGAGAACCAGTTTTTATTTAATTTACCCTCCCAAGTTCATTTCCTAGCCCTGACCTCCCTGCTGCTGTTTCTACCCTGTGTGGATTCCTTTGTACAAGTTCTGCTATTTTTACTTTTGGCTAATGTCAGTGAATAGTTTTGCTATGATCAATTACTTACCTTTCTTTAAACAACTCTTGCTTCTTATCTACATAAAATGTTCTTTTAATTGCTCTTCTCATTCTGGACTGCACTTATATAATGGGTTCCTTTTTTTTAATCCACTTCTTGCCTTCTCTATCTGAATTGGCTCTGTTATGTATGAAAGCCAGCAGCTGGGAAGATGAATACTAAGCAGCTTTGTCTGTCTTTACTGCATCATAACTCAGATACCGTGACTTCATGTCCATATAGACTTACTGGATGGAAGATATTGGTGGAGGAGGCTGGGGGAGCTATCACGTAAGAATGAACCTACTCTGCCTGAATGGAGCTGGATGAAGGTGACCTTTGAGATCCCATCTAGCCCAAACATTTGATTTACTGTTTTCACTGTCAGGCTTGTCAATTCCTAATCTGCAAGTCACTGAAACCCAGAAGACTGAATTTTAAGCTTATAATTCATTCAGTTTTTGTCAAGCACTTTTATCTTGTAATAAATTGTCCCCTGAGGAAAACATCCTGAAGGTGAAATGTATTAGTGTGTGAAACCTCCCCGTTCACTGATGGAAGCCTTATCGATTGAGCCCTTTAAAACGTGGGTGGACAAAGCATTGGAAAACCCTGTAGGGGAAAAGTCCCATAGTGGCAGGGACACGGACAAGGCAGACTGAACAGGTGTGCACATCTCCTATAAGAAAACCATTATCTTTGTCCGTTTCAATTGCAATGATGGGAGAGTAATAGTCTGTACCCACATTACAACATGGGTAAGTATTAATATTCCCATTGTGCCCATTTCCCCGTCTATACAAAGGTCAAATGCCTCACCCAGGATCACACAACATGGTGGTGGTAGAGCTAGGAATAGAACCCAAGTCTTAGCTTCCCAGTCCTCCCTTCTAACCACTAGATGACACTGCATCCAAGTTTAGAGATCAGCAGAGTAAGGCAGAAAGTCCTTCTAGTCATAGGACAGGTCTACACTATGGGGAAAAGTTAATCTAAGCTACGTAATTTGAGTTGTGTTAGTAGCTTAGATCTACTTACCACAGAGACCACACCACACAGGGTCAACGGGAGAAATTCTCCTGTAGACTCCCCTTACTCTTCTCGTTTCACTGGAGTACCGGAGTCGATGGGAGAGCAATCAGTGGTTGATTTAGCGGGTCTTCACTAGACCCGCTAAATCGACCCCGGTGGATCAATCGATACCACCAGTAGTGGAGACAAACCCATATAGATCTTTTTTTAGTACATCAGCAAGATGCAGCTGTATCATGGCTCAGAATTCTTCTGAATCAAGACAAGATGACAGGAGACATTTTTCCTTTAATTTTCTGACCCCATTTCACAATTTTATAATGCACAATAAAAAATTTTAGGACTCAGTTACACCCTCAAGTAAATTTAAATTGCTTGCTATGATATTACAGCTGGTGTATTCCAAATCTTTCCACTCCGCCTATGTTGTCTTTTCCCCAATTTAATTCTGCACATAGATGTGTAGCCAACTCTGTTTCCAGGGCTGCACAAAAGCTACCAAGTCCCTTAATTATTTTATAAATGCAACCATGTTCCCTCAGATCTCATAATCTCAAATGATAAGAGGTTTGTCCTTTGACCTTTGGGGGTATCGCTCTATATATTCTGTCTAAGGGTTCTCTAAATTGAATGCACTGCTCCTTGTCCTTTGTATATTGAATGTTCTTTGAGGGGACCTTCATCTTGCTCATTGAGTTCCTTGTTTTTAAAGCTAAGGTTGGTGGCTCGATGCTTTGTTTTTATTGTTCTCCAGCTGTTTGGTTGACTATTGTAAAGAGCCAAGCTGCATGGCACTGGGCCGCTACCAATTAATAATGGAGGAAAATTCCTGTAGGTTATAAAAGTATTAACTAGGGCTGTCAAGCGATTTAAAAAAATTAAGCTCGATTAATCGCATGATTAAAAAAATTAATCGCAATTAATCACGTTGTTAATAATGGAATACCATTTATTTAAATATTTTTGGATGTTTTCTACATTTTCAAATATATAGATTTCAATTATAACAGAGTACAAAGTGTATAGTGCTCACTTTACAAATATTTGCACTATAAAAAACAAAAGAAATAGTATTTTTCAGTTCACCTCAGACAAGTACTGTAGTGCAATCTCTTTATCATGAAAGTTCATCTTACTTTTTGTACATAAGTCTACATTTGTAACTGCATTCAACAAATAAAACCATGTAAAATTTTAGAGCCTACAAGTCCACTCAGTCATACTTCAGCCAATCACTCAGACAAACTTGGTTACAATTTGCAGGAGATAATGCTGCCTGCTTCTTGTTTACAATGTCACCTGAAAGTGAGAACAGGCATTTGCATGGCACTGTTGTAACCGGCATCGCAAGATATTTACATGCCAGAGGCACTAAAGATTCATATGTCCCTTCATCTTCAACCACCATTTTCATAGGACATGAGTCCATGCTGATGACAGGTTCTGCTCGATAACGATCCAAAGCAGAGCGGACCAATGCATATTCCTTTTTATCATCAAAGTCAGATACCACCAGCAGAAGGTTGATTTTCTTTTTTGGTGGTTCAGGCTGTGTAGTTTCTGTGTTGCTTTTTTAAGACTTCTGAAAGCATGCTCCCACCTTGTCTTTCAGATTTTGGAAGGCACTTCAGATTCTTAAACTTGGGTCGAGTGCTGTAGCTATTTTTAGAAATTTCACATTGGTATCTTTTGTGTTTGTCAAATCTGCTGTGAAAGTGTTCTTAAAACAAACGTGTTGGGTCATCATCCGAGACTGCTATAACATGAAATATATGGCAGAATGCAGGTAAAACAGAGCTGAAGACAACCAGTTCTCCCCTAAGGAGTTCAGTCACAAATTTAATTAACGCATTATTTTTTAATGAGTATCATCAGCATGGAAGCATGTCCTCTGGAATTGTGGCTGAAGCATGAAGGGGCATATGAATGTTTAGCATATCAGGCACATAAATACCTTGCAACACCGGCTACAAAAGTGCCATGCGAATGACTGTTCTCACTTTCAGGTGACATTGTAAATAAGAAGCAGGCAGCAGCATCTCCTGTAAATGTAAACAAACTTGTTTGTCTTAGCGATTGGCTGAACAAGAAGTAGAACTGAGTGGACTTGTAGGCTCTAAAGTTTTACATTGTTTTGTTTTTGAGAGCAGTTATGTAACAAAAAAAATCTACATTTGTAAGTTGCACTTTCATGATAAAGAGATTGCACTACAGTACTTGTATGAGATGAACTGAAAAATACTATTTCTTTTTTCATTTTTACAGTGCAAATATTTGTAATACTATAAAATGAGCACTGTACACTTTGTATTGTGTTGTAATAGAAATCAATATATTTGAAAATGTAGAAAAACATCAGAAAATATTTAATAAATTTCAATTGATATTCTATTGTTTGAGTGTGATTAATTGTGATTAATTTTAATTGTGATTAATTTTTTTTAGTTAATCGCGTGAGTTAACTGCGATTAATTGACAGCCCTAGTATTAACATGTGGAGATGACATAATTTGTCCTCTCCTGCTCCAATTGATTATTTATACAAACAAAAGCTGGCTCAAATGTCCACCCTGGCAATGTAATGCATGAGGTCAATGTTGGGCAAAGGATGCACTGGAATGAGGTCATGAACCATGTTGAGCTGACAAAGGGTTCAATTTTTTTTTTAAATGAGCAATTCCTGTTTCAGACCTGACAAACTCAATACATGTAATACACGTTCATATACTGTTTTTAGCATTACAGCATACAGACCCAGACAGTATGGATTAGAAGTCCCAGAAGCTATATTAAGTGTAAACGTTCCTTGTGGCCATCAGTGCTTGGCCTCTGGTCTGGTCTGTTGGCAGCATACGGTCTAGGCAGAGGTGGAAGAGGAGAAATCAGCTCTGCTGTTTATCATGCCTCTGCATCCTAGCTCAATATTCCATTAATATATGCCTGAATTTTCCTCCACTCCTGGGAGGTGAAATTCACAAAAGTCTGAGAGACACCTGGGCAGGGCAAATTTCCACTGAAAGCCTACAGTCAGCTGTTTGTGTGTGCAGTGCTGCTGCTTGGACTCACTCAAGCCAGCCTCACAGCAGAGGAAAACTTTGAGAAATTATACAACTTGAATAGCTCAGCCAAGAACACAAATAGAAGATCTGTAGCAGGAGTTGGTTTGCTTGCTAAACAGAAAACGAAAAAGGGAAGGATGCAGTAGCCAGGGCCGGCTCCAGGGTTTTGGCCGTCCCAAGCAGCCAAAACAACAACAACAACAAAGCTGCGATTGCGATCTGTGGCGGCAATTTGGCGGGAGGTCCTTCGCTCCCAGGTGGAGTGAGGGACCGTCCGCCGAATTGCCGCCGAATACCTGGACGTGCTGCCCCTCTCCGGAGCGGCCGCCCCAAGCACCTGCTTGACAAGCTGGTGCCTGGAGCCGGTCCTGGCAGTAGCTGACCTTGAAAACATAGTGGCAGCAGAGGATGCAGCTCTGGACACATGACCAAGTACTAGTGGAGATCAGTGTGAACAAATGAATCTAAAGCTAGATGTTCTGGTTAATCAAACTAGATAAAATAATATTAAGATGTTGGTAGCCAGTAGGGGCCTGGAATTCAGCAGTCTGAAGGATTTTTTTTCTCTATCATACTAGAAGTTTAAGCATGGACAATGACTGAGTGCATCCTACATTTAAATAGCAGCTCTGGATGCTCCAAATTTCTGAAAAATCAGGCCATCTGTTTAGGTGTCTAAATATAGATGCAGGTACCTAACTTAAGTGCCCAATTTTGACTTCAGGAGGTGCAAGCCTGGGATCCATGATCCTTAGATACTTTTTTGCACCATTGGGATTAATGCATCCACACCAACAAGATAGTGCATAGCAAGAGAAATTTGGCTATATTTGAGAAACCTTAGATGGGTACAAGTGCCATCTGCTGGTGGTGATTTTATTCTCCCCTCTGACACCAAAATAAATTGGTGTAATCCCTGATTTTAAATCCAGGATGATAAACCAGAAGTAAAGATGAACTAGAAGTGCCAGTGGATAGAGAATGAGAATCCCCCAAGGAGACATTTGGGGGTTAACAATGTTTATATTGTAAATATGTTGGGGCAAGGATCTTGACATCTGTGATGTCAGTAAAATAGCAAGCATAGTGGTAGTTTAATATAAATAATAATAAAGCAAGATGACCTGTATCTTTAGCTTCTGAGCCTGAATGGAAACTTACCTTTGCCAAGACAAGCAAGAAAGATTTGGTATGTGCATATATTAGGAGAGTTTATCCCACCTCTGTACACACCTGGAGTTGGACGTGTGAGTACTATATGCACTCTGAAATTTTGATTACCCAATGGCATTTGTCGGTAGTGATGGGGAGGAGAGACACTAAATAATGTAATTGGAAGGTATCTTTAGTGTTAAACAGTTAGCCACTACAGGATATTGTCCACTATCAGGAGATGTTGGCTAATTGAGGTTAGCAAATGGAGTACACTGTGTACACTGAATACCTGTACAATGTATGTATCTGTATATACTGGGAATGGGTTCTTTCCTTCTCTTCAAGAAAATTTCTTTACCTTAACTGTAATATGTGTTTTCATAAATCAGATGACTTTTTTTATATATGGGAATTTCCACATAGTATGTTATGAGACTCATTGTTGCCAATTCATACTTGTCCACATCTGATGGCTTCCAATACAGCTTTTGAAGGAGGTCCTCTTCTCTGGGCTATGGAAAAAACCAAAGCAATGTCACAACCCTTGATAAATGTGCCAGATGTTGATGTCTCTTTTGACAAAGCGAACCCTTACGTTTGCTCATGTCTGTGCCTATATTTCCCAGTTTGTATAGCCAAGATTGGTCATTTTATCTAACCTGCTTTCCCCAAGACTCATCTGATGCACCATCACGGTGGTGGTTGTACTGTAGAGATGCCATACTTCCTATGCCATCTTTGGGTTTCCTGTGACACACTCCCTGCTGGGGCCAGAAACAGAGACGCCAAGGACAGGGCAGTTGCAGCTTCACAGAGTAATGGGAAGTTTATCTACGGTGACCAGATGTCCCGATTTTATAGGGACAGTCCCGATTTTGGGGCCTTTTTCTTATATAGGCTCCTATTACCCACCCTCACCCCCGTCCCGATTTTTCACATTTGCTGTCTGATCACCCTAAGTTTATCTCACTGTCATTCATAGTGCTGGTCATACTAAAGAACTTAGCCTAACGCCAGTCTCTGCTCATTTGTAAGATACGACATGGCACCAGCAGTGGAAGGCGCAATGGGCTGGAAGAGACCCAGTGAGAAGTAACGTTGCAAAGGTTGCTACAGAGCCTATGCCACTGCATCTAACTCCTCCACCAGCCCTGGCAATCAGGGGAAATGCAGAAGGGTTCAAACATCCCTTTGAGTTGTAAATGAAAGCCACAGAGGAAAATTAACTGGATGATGAGTAAAGGATTGTTCTGCTCGTAACCGTGTCAGGCATAGAGGCCCTGGATTTAGACAATGTATTCCATGCAGATGGGGGGGAGGGAAGTGTTGCAGAAAGAATGAAAAGGTTTGTTTCCCTGGAACAAATTTTACTTTTGAAATATATAGAGGTTGAGAATGAAGGGGAAACAACATAGAAGGGTCAGTCCTGTGCCATCTTGGGATATAACAATAAGGACATAGGGGAATGGTTACTAAGAGAGATGGATCTGAAGCTAGCAAGGGCAATATGTATCTGCAAAGCAGCAGAGCAACCAGAAACAAAATAATAAGCCTAGGAAAAGGCACAGAGTATAGAACTGGGAGTAGCATAACTAAATCAGCAAGGGAAAAGTTAACAGAAATTAAATTGGGCAGGGATAGAAAAATGGAAAGTAGGAAACAATGCCAAGAATGTGGCATTCAGCATGAGCATAGGACATGCCCAGCATTCTGGCAAAACTGTAGAAACTGCAATAAGCCTAACTATTGTGTTAAAATATGCAGAGAAAACAGGAAAGCGCACATATTAAGTGCAAAACTGGATTCTTCAAGTGAAGAGAAAGAGCTGTTCTTAAGCACAATAATGGAGGAGGCTGAAAACTCAAAAGACTGGCTAGTTAAAATATGCAAACATGGCACTTGTGCCATACAAGACAGACATGGAGCAAGGCACAAGAAAATGTAATCACAGAAACTGAAATGGAAAGAGGTAAGGAGCACAGAAAAGCAGATGAATTAAAAGCCTCTGTGAAAGATAACAGAGGAACAATTCCAGTGTTGGGGGACTGCACAGGGACACTTAAATAGAAAGAAAAAATGATAAAACAAGAGTTTGTGGTGGTATGACCAGGCAAGCAACCAGTCTTGGGCCTACACACACATGAGGTGCTTGGTCTTGTTAAGAAGATGTATGTGATAGGGGAGAGACACTATAGAACCAGATATGAAAGTATTAATAGCATTATATGAAAATGTATTCACAGGAAATGGGTAACACACAAGTTAAGAGAAGATGCAAAAGGTGTGGTACATGCTACCCGGAAAGTTCCATAAGTCTTAAGAAAGAAGCTAGAGCAAGAGCTGAGGAACATGACAGCAAATGGTATCATTTGGACAGCAGAAGAACCAACAGACTAGGTTCACTCCTTAGTAATTGTAGAGGGAAAAAAAAAAGGGGGTGGCCATGGTTGTGTCTAGGTCAGGGGTGGGTAAACTTTTTGGTCTGAGGGCCACATCGGGGTGCGAAACTGTATGGAGGGCAGGATAGGGAAGGCTGTGCCCCCCAAACAGCCTGGCCCCCACCTCCTATCTGACCCCTCCCACTTTCTGCCCCCTGACTGCCCCCCATCCAACTCCCACCTGATCACCCTCTCCTGGGACCCCCGCCCCAACCGCCCCCTGGGACCCCACCCCTTATCCAACCCCCCTTCACCCAGTCCCCTGACTGCCCCGACCCCTATCACACCACTGCCCCCTGACAGGCACCCCGGACCCCACCCCCTATCCAATCCCCCCGTTCCCCATCCCCCTGCCCCCCCCAAACCTCTGCCCCATCCAACCGTCCCCTGCTCCCTGTCCCCTGACTGCCCCCCAGTACCCCCTGCCCCATATCCAATGCCCCGGCCCCCTTACCATGCCACTCAAAGCAGCATGTCTGGCAGCCGCGCCTCCCGGACAGAGCCAAACACACTGCTGCGCTGCCCTGCCTGAGTGCGCGCAGCCCCCCCACCCAGAGCACTGTCCGCGTGGCGGTGGGGCAGGGGGGACAGCGGGGAAGGGGCCGAGGGCTAGCCTCCCCCGCCGGGAGCTCAGGAGCCAGGCAGAACGGTCCCACAGGCCGGACGTGGCCCATGGGCTGTAGTTTGCCCACCTCTGGTCTAGATCCTAAGGAGCTGAATAAAAACAAACAAAACTAACGCTTTTGCTTGTCCCCCAAAAGTGAACTATCATCTGAGAGCAGGAGCCAAATTCTTCAGCAGATTAGATGCATCAGCAGGAGTTTGGCAGATCTCCTTGGACATTGAGAGCTCCAAGATCTGCACTTTCAACACACCGTTTGGCAGATGCAACTTCTTAAGACTCTTTCATAATAGGTTTATTTCCTGAAGTATTTCTGTGAACAAAATGCTAGAGGATCTAGTTCAGGGGTGGGCAAAGTTTTTGGCCCGAGGGCCACATCTGGGTGGGGAAATTGTATGCAGGGCCATGAATGTAGGGCTGGGGCAAAGGGTTGGGCTGTGGGAGGGGGTGCAGTGTGCAGGAAGGGGCTCTGGGCAAGCAGTTAGGGTGCAGGAGGTGGCTCAGGGCAGGAGGTTAGGGTTCAGGAGAAGTGCAGCAGGGGGCTCAAGGCAGAGGGATAGGGGGATTAGTGCAGGGGTTTGGGGTGCAGGGTGCAGGAGGGGTTCGGGGTATGGGCTCTGGCCTGGCACCATTTACCTCGAGTGGCTCTAGGGTGGCAGTGGCACGCAGCGGGACTAAGGCAGGCTCCCTCGCGCCGTGCCACACCCAGAAGTGGCCAGCATGTCCAGCAGTGGCTCCTGGGGGCAGGTGGGGCAAGCGGCTCCGCCGTATGCTGCCATCACCTGTGGGTACCACCCCTGAAGCTTCCATTGGCCACGGTTCCCTGTTTCTGGCCAATGGGAGCTGTGGGGGGCGGTGCCTGCAGGTGAGGGCAGCACACAGAGCACTTTGCCCCACCCTTCTCCCCAGGGCTTGAGGGACGTGGTGCCAGCCACTTCTGGGAGCAGCACGGGGCCAGGGCAAGCAGGGAGCCCGCCTTAGCCCAGCTGCGCCATGGGGCTGGCAATCCTGCAGGCCGGACTGAAAGCCCTGGCGGGCGAGATCCGGCCTGCGGGCCATAGTTTTCCCGCCCCTGATCTAGCTGGTATGAAAGTATTATGATAACATAATTTTGGGACAGCACAGCCATTGAACATCAGGAACGACTGAGGAGAGTACTGGAAATTGCAAGAGCTAATAACCTTAAACTGAATAAGGCTAAATCTTAGCTTCAAATAACAGAAATAACACACGTGGGAGAGAGAGCCTGATCTCCAAGGGAATCTTGCCCAATGAACCACAGATTCAGGCAATACTGAAGAGGCTGAGATGTGAAGATACAAAGGGAATTCAAAGGCTGTTGAGCACATGGCATTATGTCATCAAGTTCATATCTAACTATACGGCTCATACAACTCACCTAAGACATCTCCAAAGGTCACTGAATGGACATAGATGTCAGAGCATGAAAGGGAGTTCAATCATTTAAAGCACATTCTGACATCAGCTCCAATACTGCAATTTTTTGACCCACTGAGCTACATCAAACTCTCAACTGATGCCTCAAAAGGAGAGCTGGGAGCAGTACTATTATATGGAACTGACAGGTTGCCACCAGACGTGCCAAACCTGCAGAAAAAAATGCAGAAATTGGGCTTGGTTTTGGCTTAATTGGCTTGAGTTACTTGTTGGCTAGTTTTTGGCTTGTAGCTTGTTTGGCTTGTAGCTTGTTGCTTCTTCTTTTTTTTAAATTGGCTCCCGGCAAGCAGGGGCAAGGAGGTGAGAGAGTTGGGGATGAACAGCGGGCCCACCACAGTCCCAGACAGCACACCAGGGGGATCTAGTCACATAGAGTGTTGGGGTTCTTAGGAATTGGCTTGTTTTGACCTTGTTTTGAAATGGGATTAGTTTGATTTTTGGCTTATTGTGAAAGTCGGGATGCTTATTTACCCTGTGAAAGTTGGCAACTGTGGTTGCCACTCTCATATGCATCGAGGGCTCTAACAGCTGCAGAGATGGTGTACACACAAATTGAAAAAGAGACACTAGGTCTGGAGTATGGGATGTACACGATTTCATGATTTTCTCTATGGTTTAGCTTCAAAGCAGAAAGTGATCACAAACCACTGATGACAATACACAGCCTGACAATCTGGAAGAAGAAGTAAACATACATGTGAACATGGTAAGTGTCATGTGCTGTCTCTCCAGGCATATGGGATGAATTGGAGCCAGAGAGATGAAATGCTGCTGTTGTGATAAAGGAAACAAATCAACACTTCCCATCTGCCTATTCCTACTATAAAAATGAGCTTTCTGTGATCTCAAAAGTTCAAGCCAGATGGCCAGGGGCTCCTGGTATGTAACTCTAAATCTCAGCTGGTCTGACCCACTGAATACACCTCACACACCATAGTCATGATATTTATTTATTTAATACATCATCTGAAAACTACCACCACACTGGTCATTA